ACATATCAGTGGCTTTAGTTATCTAGCTGTGCTGGGTTCAGTAGCCTAGAGACTGGAACATATCAGTGGCTTTAGTCCTATCCTCAGTAGCCTGTGCTGGGTTCAGTAGCCTAGAGACTGGAACATATCAGTAGTTGCTTTAGAGACTTATCAGTGGCTAGTTATCCTAGTTGTGCTGGGGTTCAGTAGCCTAGAGACTGGAACATATCAGTGGCTTTAGTTATCCTAGTTTGTGCTGGGTTCAGTAGCCTAGAGACTGGAACATATCAGTGGCTATTAGTTATAGCCTAGAGACCTAGCTTTAGTTATCCTGTTGTGCTGGGTTCAGTAGCCTAGAGACTGGAACATATCAGTGGCTTTAGTTATCCTAGTTGTGCTGGGTTCAGTAGCCTAGAGACTGGAACATATCAGTGGCTTTAGTTATCCTAGTTGTGCTGGGTTCAGTAGCCTAGAGACTGGAAACATATCAGTGGCTTTAGTTATCCTAGTTGTGCTGGGTTCAGTAGCCTAGAGACTAGAACATATCAGTGGCTTTAGTTATCCTCAGTAGCTAGAGACTAGAACCATATCAGTGGCTTTAGTTATCCTAGTTGTGGTTCAGTAGCCTAGAGACTGGAACATATCAGTGGCTTTAGTTATCCTAGTTGTGCTGGGTTCAGTAGCCTAGAGACTGGAACATATCAGTGGCATGTGCTGGGTTTTAGTTATCCTAGTTGTGCTGGGTTCAGTAGCCTAGAGACTAGAACATATCAGTGGCTTTAGTTATCCTAGTTGTGCTGGGTTCAGTAGCCTAGAGACTAGAACATATCAGTGGCTTTAGTTTATTGTGCTGGGTAGCCTAGAGAGTAGTGCTTTAGTTATCCTAGAGACTAGAGACTGGAACATATCAGTGGCTTGTAGTTTCCTAGCTGTGCTGGGTTCAGTAGCTGGGTTCTAGCCTAGAGACTAGAACATATCAGTGGCTTTAGTTATCCTAGCTGTGCTGGGTTCAGTAGCCTAGAGACTGGAACATATCAGTGGCTTTAGTTATCCTAGCTGTGCTGGGTTCAGTAGCCTAGAGACTGGAACATATCAGTGGCTTTAGTTATCCTAGTTGTGCTGGGTTCAGTAGCCTAGAGACTGGAACATATCAGTGGCTTTAGTTATCCTAGTTGTGCTGGGTTCAGTAGCCTAGAGACTGGAACATATCAGTGGCTTTAGTTATCCTAGCTGTGCTGGGTTCAGTAGCCTAGAGAGACTGGCTTTAATCCTAGCTGTATCAGTAGCCTGGACTAGAACATTAGTGGCTTTAGTTTATCCTAGTTGTGCTGGGTTCAGTAGCCTAGAGACTGGAACATATCAGTGGCTTTAGTTATCCTAGCTGTGCTGGGTTCAGTAGCCTAGAGACTAGAACATATCAGTGGCTTTAGTTATCCTAGTTGTGCTGGGTTCAGTAGCCTAGAGACTGGAACATATCAGTGGCTTTAGTTATCCTAGTTGTGCTGGGTTCAGTAGCCTAGAGACTAGAGACTGCTGGTTCAGTAACTTTATATCAGACTGGAACATATCAGTGGCTTTAGTTATCCTAGTTGTGCTGGCATATCAGTGGCTTTAGTTATCCTAGTTGTGCTGGGTTCAGTAGCCTAGAGACTGGAACATATCAGTGGCTTTAGTTATCCTAGTTGTGCTGGGTTCAGTAGCCTAGAGACTAGAACATATCAGTGGCTTTAGTTATCCTAGTTGTGCTGGGTTCAGTAGCCTAGAGACTGGAACATATCAGTGGCTTTAGCTTTATCCTAGCTGTGCTGGGTTCAGTTAGAGTTATCCTAGCTGTGCTGGGTTTGTGCTGGGTTCAGTAGCCTAGAGACTAGAACATATCAGTGGCTTTAGTTATCCTAGTGTGCTGCTGGGTTCAGTAGCCTAGAGAGCCTGAGACTAGAACATATCAGTGGCTTTAGTTATCCTAGTTGTGCTGGGTTCAGTAGCCTAGAGACTAGAGACTAGAACATATCAGTGGGCTAGTTGTGCGTTATCAGTAGGTTTAGAACATATCAACTTATCTAGAGACTAGAACATATCAGTGGCTTTAGTTATCCTAGTTGTGCTGGGTTCAGTAGCCTAGAGACTAGAACATATCAGTGGCTTTAGTTATCCTAGCTGTGCTGGGTTCAGTAGCCTAGAGACTGGAACATATCAGTGGCTTTAGTTATCCTAGTTGTGCTGGGTTCAGTAGCCTAGAGACTAGAACATATCAGTGGCTTTAGTTATCCTAGCTGTGCTGGGTTCAGTAGCCTAGAGACTAGAACATATCAGTGGCTTTAGTTATCCATATAGTGGCTTGTGCTGGGTTCAGTAGCCTAGAGACTGAGAACATATCAGTGGCTTAGTTTTCCTAGTTTGTGCTATTCAGTAGCCTAGAGACTAGAACATATCAGTGGCTTTAGTTATCCTAGTGTGCTGGTCAGTAGCTGGACTAGAACATTCAGTGGCTAGTTTTCCTAGAGACTGGGTTCAGTAGCCTAGAACATATCAGTGGCTTTAGTTATCCTAGCTGTGCTGGGTTCAGTAGCCTAGAGACTGGAACATATCAGTGGCTTTAGTTTTAGTTATCCTAGCCTGTGCTGGCTTTAGTTTTCTAGGCGGGGTTCTAGCCTAGAGACTGGAACATATCAGTGGCTTTAGTTATCCTAGTTCAGTAGCCTAGAGACTAGAACATATCAGTGGGCTTTAGTTATCCTAGCTGTGCTGGGTTCAGTAGCCTAGAGACTGGAACATATCAGTGGCTTTAGTTATCTAGTGGCTTTAGGAACATATCAGTTATCCTAGCTGTGCTGGGTTCAGTAGCCTAGAGACTAGAACATATCAGTGGCTTTAGTTATCCTAGCCTAGAGACTGTGCTGGGTTCTGGGTAGCCTAGAGACTGGAACATATCAGTGGCTTTAGTTATCCTAGCTGTGCTGGGTTCAGTAGCCTAGAGACTGGAACATATCAGTGGCTTTAGTTATCCTAGTTGTGCTGGGTTCAGTAGCCTAGAGACTAGAACATATCAGTGGCTTTAGTTATCCTAGCTGGGTTGTGCTGGAACATATCAGTGGCTTTAGTTATCCTAGGTTCAGTACTGAGACTAGAACATATCAGTGGCTTTAGTTTTAGTTATCCTAGCCTGTGCTGGGTTCAGTAGCCTAGAGACTAGAACATATCAGTGGCTTTAGTTATCCTAGTTGTGCTGGGTTCAGTAGCTAGAGACTAGAACATATCAGTGGCTTTAGTTATCCTAGTTGTGCAGTAGCCTAGAGACTGGAACATATCAGTAGCCTAGAGAGACTAGAACATATCAGTGGCTTAGCTAGGGTGCTTCTAGCCTAGAGACTGGGAACATATCAGTGGCTTTAGTTATCCTAGTTGTGCTGGGTTCAGTAGCCTAGAGACTAGAACATATCAGTGGCTTTAGTTTTCCTAGTTGTGCTGGGTTCAGTAGCCTAGAGACTGGAACATATCAGTGGCTTTAGTTTTCCTAGCTGTGCTGGGTTCAGTAGCCTAGAGACTGGAACATATCAGTGGCTTTAGTTATCCTAGCTGTGCTGGGTTCAGTAGCCTAGAGACTGGAGGTTGATCAGTGTCTGAATCGTCAAAGTGTTTGCAAATGGTTTTTAAAAAATAATAATATACAAGCGGAAGAAAGTTTGTGACATTTCAGTTGAGGAGAGTCATATACATTTACCAGTATAGTTCTAGGGTTTACCTGGCTTCATAAACATCCAGTACAAAACAGTTTCTAGAATGTTCTGGGAAGTCAAGGTAATGAGATAGGGAACTGGCCACTGACTTAATATTACTGCCTAGATTATGTGAGGGCCTGACACTGGCATCATCTGATATAGGACTGTCTTACAGTAATATCGCAAGTCATTGGATGTTAGTGACGTTGTCTGTAAACAGTAGTGTCTCTGATGATTTAGCATCATTATCATTACATGCCGGAATCATTACATTACCAGAATCACAGATCAGGTCAGTGTTCTTGTCTTACTTCGTCCATGTAGCCATCCAGGTGTTTATCACTTTGCCCATTAATCTTGCCAGTTGTAACCAAATTCTAGAGTCCACTCATTCCCCTGACTAAAGATTGCTGACTATTTGCGTATGTTGTTTCTAGTCAGTTGACAGTTGTTATCAGACTCAAGATGTGAAGGCCTAGAGTTTGCCAGTCCCACTGACATGATTTGTTTGAGGACTACGTTTGATAACAGCCAGCATCCTTCTTGGGCTGAACAAGGAAGGAAGATCTACTTCATCATTTTAGGAGGATTCACTGTTGGCTGCTTGTTGACACAGTGATTGTGAGAATTATCAGCCCTACAACAGGATGTCACAAGCTGGAAACACTTGCCAGATTGTCATGATTCATCTTATATTGTCAGGCCACTAGTCTTATGCTGTTTTTCTCTCACATTTGTTATGTGTTTTTATCACGAGAGCAGTGTACGAGTGAACAAGTAATCATCCTCGGAATACTTCTGTTATATGTGGTGCTGTTGGTTATGTACTGGCTATAGTACAGTCAGGGAGTCGCCGTGGCCGAGCGGCTAAACACTCGTTACGGATCGGAAGGTAGTGGGTTCGCTCCCTGGCGGAGCCGGACTTTTAAAAAAATGACCTTGGCTCCAAGGCGACCCAGCCTTGAGTGGGTACTGGGTGCAGTCCCAGGAAAGTAAAGGTGGCCGGCGTGATGCTGACCGCATTACCTATCTTGTGCCGATTGGTCTATAAAAATATAGGTATAGCCCTATGTGCCTTATACGCCTAAAGGCATGGAAAAGAGTCCTTTACTTTTTTTTTTTACTTATATGACAGTCGTTGGAATTTTGTTTGTAGTCTTCTTGACATTTGTAGATACTGATAAGTGTGATTCCATGTTTATGTTTGATGAATACTGTGTAATGTAAGTAATCATTCTCTTTGTTTCTCAAACCTGGCCAGGTAGCAAACCAGATGCCTTTGATGTGGCTTCTGAGAAGAAGATGGCGAGTCAGGCCACACACAGCCCTTCTCGTATCCCATTGCCAGTCAGAAGCTCTCCCACCCCAGTCCATCATCCTGTCAGTGGGATCTACCTGAAGGATTTGACCCATGGAGATTGTCTGTCCTCTCCCCAGCAGCTGTTTTCTCTCAACCATGACAAGGAAAATGGCAACATCAAAGTTGACCAACAGAAGCAGCTGCAGTCTCCACAAACACAGAAGGGTAAAGGTTTCCAAACATTTCTTATGACAGGGGAGATGATAATTGACACCAACCCAGCTGTCACTGAGAAGCTGGTGAAACAAGATAGTCATGTGAAGACAGATAAGGAGAGCCACATCCCCAGGTTAGGTCCCAGCGATCATAGACTGATCACTCAAAGTCCTAAGGGACCCAAACCACAACATCAGCAATCAAGTGGTACGGCATCTCCAACACTTCATTCTCAAATACCTGGTCTCCTCAAGAATCACAACGCTCAAAAGCTGCCTGCTTCACCACATCACCCAGTACACCCTTGTCCATCACCTGAATTCAGTGCTTATAGCCAGATGACAATGTCAACTCCTGTGAGAGATTTTCCCTTGGTTTATGCACCTGTCGCGGAAATGGAGGAACTTTCAGACCTCTCGCAGTCATCCTGCTCTGAGAGTGAGTTAGGTTTGGATGTGGACCAGACAAGTCTTCCAGTCGGCAGCAGTCTGTCTGAAGGTCATCTTCTACATTCTCCCAACACAGATGATGCCAGACTGGACCAGGCTGTGGAGAGTTTAAGTAAACTGCAGCCATCACTGCCAGGCCTCAGCACAGGTGGCTTCTCGGACACATCCTTCTCAGAGCCACCTAGTTCAGCAGACAGTGGCTTTGTGCATGATGGGCACACCTCTGACCTAGAGCTGGCATCCAGGGGATTGATGACTTGTGAGCCCACATTCTCCATCGCAGGCAGCTACCTATCAGATGAAACCCTCACTGACAGACCAGCAGCATCATTTACTGACACCATGACTTACAGTGTGGGCCCAGTTTGCCAGGGCCAGGACAAAAGCTCAAACCAGACAATTGTGGCCAGCAGCAGCGGTGAGAAATTTTCAGTCCACACTGGCAGCACAGAGCAGCGACCTTTAGTTCGTACCAGCAAGTCTCATGAGAACTACCTGCAGGCAGGAACTAATATAGCACTTGTAAGCATAGACATCGACGATAACCTAGCATATTCCTTGGATACTCTGACCTATCGTGACAGCTTGGAGTCTTCTCTGGATAATGTCACCTCAGAACCTCTTCAGATGTCCAGAAGTTTAGACAACTCTCCAGAGAAAAAGTCTGATAAATCTTCAGCCATTGAGCGAGAGTTTCTACCAGGATTTATAAACTTAGATGACTCAAAACCTTTGAAGTTAAAGCTAAACAAACACAGAGAGGAATGTGCTGATGACAGGCTGTGTCAGACAAACAATTCTGGAAACTTCTGTACAAAATTTGCTTCACCAACACCATCATCTCATGTACTTCATCCATCAAGTCTATCCAACGATGATGTCAAGTCTAGTGGGAGATGGCACATCAATGTTTGTCCCACACAGTGCCGAGGGTCCACTCAACCTCCATCTACATGGTGAAGACATAGACACTGATGGTCTGTACCACCAGCCCAGCAAGGCTGTTGACCGACCCAGCGCTGAGAGACTGGCCAAGAGGCTTTTCCTTCTGGAAGGATTTCGTAAATCTGATGTCTCCAGACACCTGTATAAAAAGTAAGTGTTTACAGACACTGCACAGGTAGTACACACATGCTACACTGATTGAGAGAGAGAGAGAGACAGACAACACACACACACACACACCCACAAAGTTTATCTTTCTTTTGACCTGTCATCCCCACTTTTTCAGTTGTCACCCTCTCTAGGCGACATGACTGTTTCAGTTGTCACCCTCTCTGGGAGACATGACTGTTTCAGTTGTCACCTTCTCTGGGAGACATGACTGTTTCACTTGTCACCCTCTCTGGGGGACATGACTGTTTCAGTTGACACCCTCTCTGGGAGACATGACTGTTTCAGTTGTCACCCTCTCTGGGAGACAACTGTTTGAGTTGCCACCCTCTCTGGAAGACATGACTGTTTGAGTTGCCACCCTCTCTGGAAGACATGACTGTTTGAGCTGCCACCCTCTCTGGGGGACATGACTGTTTGAGCTGCCACCCTCTCTGGGGGACATGACTGTTTGAGCTGCCACCCTCTATAGGAGACATGACTGTTTCAGTTGTCACCTTCTCTGGGAGACATGACTGTTTCACTTGTCACCCTCTCTGGGGGACATGACTGTTTCAGTTGACACCCTCTCTGGGAGACATGACTGTTTCAGTTGTCACCCTCTCTGGGAGACAACTGTTTGAGTTGCCACCCTCTCTGGAAGACATGACTGTTTGAGTTGCCACCCTCTCTGGAAGACATGACTGTTTGAGCTGCCACCCTCTCTGGGGGACATGACTGTTTGAGCTGCCACCCTCTCTGGGGGACATGACTGTTTGAGCTGCCACCCTCTCTAGGAGACATGACTGTTTGAGCTGCCACCCTCTCTAGGAGACATGACTGTTTGAGCTGCCACCCTCTGTAGGAGACATGACTGTTTGAGCAGCCATCCTCTCTGGGAGACATGACTGTTTGAGCTGCCACCCACTCTGGGAGACATGACTGTTTGAGCTGCCACCCTCTCTAGGAGACATGACTGTTTGAGCTGCCACCTACTCTGGGAGACATGACTGTTTGAGCTGCAACCCACTCTGGAAAACATGACTGTTTGAGCTGCCACCCTCTCTAGGAGACATGACTGTTTCAGTTGACACCCTCTCTGGGAGACATGACTGTTTCAGTTGTCACCCTCTCTGGGAGACAACTGTTTGAGTTGCCACCCTCTCTGGAAGACATGACTGTTTGAGTTGCCACCCTCTCTGGAAGACATGACTGTTTGAGCTGCCACCCTCTCTGGGGGACATGACTGTTTGAGCTGCCACCCTCTCTAGGAGACATGACTGTTTGAGTTGCCACCCACTCTAGGAGACATGACTGTTTAAGCTGCCACCCTCTCTAGGAGACATGACTGTTTAAGCTGCCACCCACTCTGGGAGACATGACTGTTTGAGCTGCCACCCTCTGTAGGAGACATGACTGTTTGAGCTGCCACCCTCTGTAGGAGACATGATTGTTTAAGCTGCCACCCTCTGTAGGAGACATGACTGTTTGAGCTGCCACCCTCTGTAGGAGACATGACTGTTTAAGCTGCCACCCTCTGTAGGAGACATGACTGTTTGAGCTGCCACCCACTCTGGAAGACATGACTGTTTGAGCTGCCACCCTCTCTGGAAGACATGACTGTTTGAGCTGCCACCCACTCTGGGAGACATGACTGTTTGAGCTGCTACCCGCTCTAGGAGACATGACTGTTTGAGCTGCCACCCTCTGTAGGAAACATGACTGTTTGAGCTGCCCACCCTCTCTAGGAGACATGACTGTTTGAGCTGCCACCCTCTGTAGGAGACATGACTGTTTGAGCTGCCACCCTCTCTAGGAGACATGACTGTTTGAGTTGCCACCCACTCTGGGAGACATGACTGTTTGAGCTGCCACCCTCTCTGGAAGACATGACTGTTTGAGCTGCCACCCTCTCTAGGAGACATGACTGTTTGAGTTGCCATCCACTCTAGGAGACATGACTGTTTAAGCTGCCACCCTCTCTAGGAGACATGACTGTTTAAGCTGCCACCCACTCTGGGAGACATGACTGTTTGAGCTGCCACCCTCTGTAGGAGACATGACTGTTTGAGCTGCCCACCCTCTCTAGGAGACATGATTGTTTGAGCTGCCACCCTCTGTAGGAGACATGACTGTTTGAGCTGCCACCCTCTGTAGGAGACATGACTGTTTGAGCTGCCACCCTCTGTAGGAGACATGACTGTTTGAGCTGCCACCCACTCTGGTAGACATGACTGTTTGAGCTGCCACCCACTCTGGTAGACATGACTGTTTGAGCTACCACCCACTCTGGAAGACATGACTGTTTGAGCTGCCACCCTCTCTGGAAGACATGACTGTTTGAGCTGCCACCCACTCTAGGAGACATGCCTGTTTGAGCTGCCACCCTCTCTAGGAGACATGACTGTTTGAGCTGCCACCCTCTGTAGGAAACATGACTGTTTGAGCTGCCCACCCTCTCTAGGAGACATGACTGTTTGAGCTGCCACCCTCTGTAGGAGACATGACTGTTTGAGCTGCCACCCTCTCTAGAAGACATGACTGTTTGAGCTGCCACCCTCTGTAGGAGACATGACTGTTTAAGCTGCCACCCTCTGTAGGAGACATGACTGTTTGAGCTGCCACCCTCTGTAGGAGACATGACTGTTTGAGCTGCCATCCTCTCTGGGAGACATGACTGTTTGAGCTGCCATCCTCTCTGGGAGACATGACTGTTTGAGCTGCCACCCACTCTGGGAGACATGACTGTTTGAGCTGCCACCCACTCTGGGAGACATGACTGTTTGAGCTGCCACCCTCTCTGGGGGACATGACTGTTTGAGCTGCCACCCTCTCTGGGGGACATGACTGTTTGAGCTGCCACCCACTCTGGGGGACATGACTGTTTAAGCTGTCACCCACTCTGGGAGACATGACTGTTTGAGCTGCCACCCTCTCTGGGGGACATGACTGTTTGAGCTGCCACCCACTCTGGGAGACATGACTGTTTGAGCTGCCACCCACTCTGGGAGACATGACTGTTTGAGCTGCCACCCACTCTGGGAGACATGACTGTTTGAGCTGCCACCCTCTCTGGGGGACATGACTGTTTGAGCTGCCACCCTCTCTGGGGGACATGACTGTTTGAGCTGCCACCCTCTCTGGGGGACATGACTGTTTGAGCTGCCACCCACTCTGGGGGACATGACTGTTTGAGCTGTCACCCACTCTGGGAGACATGACTGTTTGAGCTGCCACCCTCTCTGGGGGACATGACTGTTTGAGCTGCCACCCACTCTGGGAGACATGACTGTTTTGAGCTGCCCACCCACTCTGGGAGACATGACTGTTTGAGCTGCCACCCACTCTGGGAGACATGACTGTTTGAGCTGCCACCCACTCTGGGAGACATGACTGTTTGAGCTGTCACCCACTCTGGGAGACATGACTGTTTGAGCTGCCACCCTCTCTGGGGGACATGACTGTTTGAGCTGCCACCCACTCTGGGAGACATGACTGTTTGAGCTGCCACCCACTCTGGGAGACATGACTGTTTGAGCTGCCACCCACTCTGGGAGACATGACTGTTTGAGCTGCCACCCACTCTGGGAGACATGACTGTTTGAGCTGCCACCCTCTCTGGGAGACATGACTGTTGTGTGCTGATTCGTGTGGATTCTGAATTGTTGTAATATTGCTAGAGACAATGTCATGTGAATTGTGTTTTCGAGAGTCCGCTATAATGTCCGGTGACCTGAGTCAGTATTTGGTGCAGTGTTACTTAAGCCAAGAGATGTCAGTTCGACTTGAGTTAGTATTATTGCAAGTGGATGTTGACTTAGGGCTGGATGGACCTGTGGATTCACGAAGTTATTAGCCCAATGTGGGCTAATTATCATACTTAGTGCGTGGATAGCAGCTATCCCACGGAAAAATATGGAGTTCTCAGTGAAGTGGAATCAAGCATAACTGTGAGCGTCTTGTGTGCATGGAGGCTTACAAGAGACAGGCGTGTGTACGTAATGGGGTTAAGTTCAGTTGAGAGAACAAAGAGATCTGCTAGAACGTGTTGAGAGAACAGTTTAATTAAGAGTGTTAGAGAACAGTCGAGAGTGCAAAGAAATGAGAAGTCCAGTTGGCAGAGTTAGGCCAAGAGAGCTGGACTACTTCAAGAAGCAGCTGTCTTGGGTGATGACGCATGCCAGGCGGTAGGACTACTAGTGAAACAAGACAGCAGGGATGTCAGCAACGGCTGTGAGCTGAAGAGGACTCAGGCTTGAAGTTCAGACAGGGTTCCCTTGACGAGGCTGATATGCTGTGTGCACATACTGGAGAGCGAGAATTAGAAGCTTTCCAGTCGCCGAAGTGACAGTGTCTGCTATGTGTAGAGCAACGAAGGTCAAGTTTAGTAGGAGATGTAACATGTTCATCTGTATAGCGAGCCTTGCAGTGAGGGGAGCGGAAGACCTAGGCACTGTATCTGTCTCACGGGTAGTGGCAGCTAGTGTAGGCTGTCCGAGAGAGCGCCGCCGAAGTGAGGGACATTTATTTCATAATTAGTCTGCGACATGTATGGTTACTTCGCTTGCATCATTATATGTACGGGTCTGTTTATACCCGCTTGAAATTGTGACAATAAATGTGCATATGTGGCGGCAACATGTCATTGAGTTTTCATGAAAGTTGAGACAACTGAGACATTGTAGTCTTGGCAGACATTATTCCAGGACACTGAGATATTGTAATCTTGGCAGACATTATTCCTGGACACTGAGATATATCTTTGACATTATTCTGAGATATTGTAATCTTGGCAGACATTATTTCCTGAGATTGTAATCTGCAGACATTATTCTGGACACTGAGATATTGTAATCTTGGCAGACATTATTCCTGGACACTGAGATATTGTAATCTTGGCAGAACATTATTCCTGGACTGAGATATTGTAATCTTGGCAGACACTGGAGATATTGTAATCTTGGCAAACATTATTCCTGGACACTGAGATATTGTAATCTTGG